AGCACTAATTCATAACCAACCAGTTGAAATAGTTCCAAGTGCAACACAACACTCATGATTTAACACTTCAAGTAGTTCAATGTGCCACACACCACACAACACACATGATCTAACAGCAAAACAATCAACTGGTTCAAAGTGCAACATAGCACTCATGATCTAACAGTTCAAGTAGTTCAAAGTGCAACACAACACTCATTATCTAACAATTCAAGTAGTTCAAAGACCAACATAGCAAACCCATTTCAGTGATTTCCACTTGCTGTGAAATAATCACCCCACTTGGTAGGCTTCCTCTTCCTCTTCTGTCCATGTGAAGGACCAGCAGCAGGCTGACTTGCAGCAGCTCTTGGAGGAGCATAAGGTGCCCTACCAGCAGCTCTTGTAGTGGGTGTTGATCTGCTTGTCCTGGCAGCACTTGATGATTGTCTTTTGTTCTTGGGTGTGGGAGCTGCTTGCCTTGTGTTCCTAGTAGTAGTACTTGTAGATCTTGTGGGCTTTGGAGCAACTGGAGGATTTGGAGCAGCTGGAGGCTTAGTAGAAGTAGAAGCAGTTGCTTGGTTCTTCCTATTGGGCTAGAAAGAGAGAAGAATGTTAGTATAAATTAGAAATCTGCAATGCAAAATGAAATGAAGGAAGAGGTTGTGTACCTCATGTTTGTTCTTTCTCATTAGAAGTGATGGCTTGAGTGCATGTCCACAGTTGGTGTACCTATGACCCTCTTTACCACAATTGCTGCATGATATTGTGCCAACTCTAGATGTATCTTTGGGCTTGGGCACCTCAAACCGACCCTTTCTTCTCTTAGTCTGCTTTCTTCCCTTCTTCTTGAAAACTGGGGGGGGGGGGGTCAATGTCTCTGGTAGGTGTCTTGGTCCAAAGATCAGGCCCAGGAACTAGGAATATAATAGGATTGTATGTTGCCATGTACATTTCTTTCTTGAAAAATGCAGAGACAAAATCCTCTGGATGCTGCTTTGATTTATATATGGCAGACACAGCATGGTGACAGGGGATTGCTGTCATGTCCCATCTTCTGCACCCACAAGTCATTTGTGCCAAATTTACAGCATAAGTATTTTCCCCACTCTGAACCTGATAAAGATCTGGACCAACCATTTGTGCCTTGCAGTTCCTAGCCCACTTCTTTGACTCCTCCAACTTCTCTGAGTGTGTTGGAGTTATCTCCCACCTAGCATTTTGGCCCCCTATTCTTTTCTCACTGTACTTAACCATTAACTTGGTCCTAATACCCTCACAAATTGTCTGGATTGGTTTCCCCCTTACATCCAAGATCATCCTATTATATACTTCACTTAAATTGTTGACAACCAGGTCTGTCTTACAATTAGTGTCCATTGCCCATCTAGCCCATGTTTTCTCCTCTATCTTACTTAGCCACTCCCAAGCCTCTTGGCTCTCTTGTCTCAAGTTCTTCATGTTAACATCAAACCCATGTCTTGTATAAGAATATGCAGCACCATCCATATACTTTTTAAGTTCCTCCCCTCTAAACCCAGCACTTTGAAAATTAGCATATATGTGTCTTAAACAGTATCTCTGAGGACAATTTGGAAAGACTGCATCTATGGCATTTAGAAGTCCCTGCTCACATGCAAATGCATAGTAAATACTTAACAAACATGTACATCAGAGAGTAGCAAACATGCAAACATTTACATAGACAACAAGCATGAATAATAAAGGAGAGAAGCAATTTTAATTAGAGCTCTAGAACTAACCTTCTGCCTATCAGAGATAATTGTATAGTATCCAAACTGCCCTTTTTCTCCACCAATAGCTATTTTCAATTGTGTGAGGAACCAACTCCAGCTAGGTGTGTCCTCTACTTCAACCACTCCAAAAGCAATAGGATGGATATTGTTATTACCATCCCTTGCAGTGGCAGCTAGAATTTGTTGTCCTGTGCTCAGCTTTACAAAGCACCCATCCAAACCTGAAATAATACACAATTTTAGGACTACAACGATGATTAAATGTGCAATGTAAATAATTTGAAATTTGAAAACAATGAACATACCTATGAATGGCCTGCATCCTTTCAAAAAACCTTCAATTGATGCTCCAAGACACATGAACAACCTATGAAATCTGGGATTGGTACTTGGGTGCTCTCTCACAACTCTAGTAGTAACTATACATCTAGATCCAGGGTTTGTGTCAAGCACTGTCTGAAGGTAGTCCCTGATTCTTGTGTACTGCCTTTCCTGATCACCCAGGACCACTGCCAAAGCTAGTTTTCTTGCCCTTGTATGCCTTGTTCTTGCCTACCTCCACACCAAACTTTTCCTTGGTGTTCTCTATCACAGTATCAACACATGTGCTAGGATCTGTCCTTAAGCTGCTCTCAATTGACTTTGCCACATACTTAATGGGCACTTTGCAGTTCTTATCAAGTACAGGACATGTGTGTTGCAGTTGGAGTTTCTTTATGCAGAAGGTTTTCTCTTTTCCCACTTGTGAGGCAGTCATATGAAAGTTGCAGCCCTCTTGACTACAGTCAATTATTATCCTGTCCTTGCAATTCCTATGATAGTGGAAATTCCTCCTCTGAGTTACATGCAAGTTCACTAGAGCCCTTCTGAACTGATACACATCCTCAAAACACATCTGCCAACAAATTTGATCTTCAGGTTGTTGCAGTTCCTCATTATACCACTTCCTCACAGCTCTCTTCTTAGCTCTTGATCTCTTGCCAGTATTTGGCACATATCTTATCTCCTCCTCATCTGATAATTCACACTTAACATCTTCCATGTTCTCACCAGAGGAGGGCACATAATCTGGTTCTATTGTTGCTGCAGAACTGCTGTGAGATCTGTCAGTTGGCCCTCTTCTAACTGGTAATTTTTGTGGTGGAGCTTGTTGTACTAAAACCTCATCCTCATCTGAACTATCCTCCTCACAGAAAAGATCTTCTGGATCTGTATCACCTTCCATGTGGTATTTAGGATCTTTTTTCTTCCTGTTTAGCTCACAAATCTTTTGCTTCAGTTCTGGATCATCAAGTTCTTCTCCTTCTGAACTATCATCAAGTTGTTCTCCTTCTGAACTATCATCAAATTGTTCTCCTTCTGCAAACTCTTCTCCTTCTTGTCCTTCTTCTTGTTCTGCATTGGCTGCTTCCTCTTCCATATGTTGTCCATCATCAATAGGATCAGCATATTGCTCCAAAAATGCATTGAGAATGTCATCTACATTGTCATTTACAATGACAATCTCCTTCTCTTTCTCTTTCTGCAAATTGCAACTCTGCTGAGTTATCAGATACTCTACTTGAGAGTCATCTGGCTGCATTGGGGCACACTCATGTGCATTATCTTCAGAACTGCCTTGTGATTGAAACAACACACCATCATCATTTATCTCATAAACAATTGGATTACCAATCTCAGAAATGGGCACTTGATCCTCACATACAACCCCTTTGTTAAGGTCTTTTAATGCAAACAAGTCAGGTTTGCTGGCACTGATCACAGTTATGTTCACTACTTTTTTCTCTGCATACAAATCAAGCATCTCCTCCACATTGTCATCTGACATAATCAGGTCCATCCCTGCATGCCCAGCACCTACCACCTTTGGATAGTACATTGAATAACTTCCATCATAACCTTGTTCCTCTTTGATAGCTACCAAATGACTGAATGTTATGTCAGACTCCCCTGTCTGCCTATCATAATTGTCTTCTCCAATGAAATTAAACCTGACATCCCAAATTTCATCATCCAAGCTACAAAAGCAAAAGAAAATAACAATGGTTAGGACTACAACCTTTTCCAGTTATAATTTACATCACACATGTACAAATTCTTCAGTTGTACAACCATGTACAACACAATTTTTTTACATCATCTCAGAAGTATTTAAATGCCTAAAACCTATACAGAGCATATAACAGAATTATTTACAACATTCAGAAGTATTTAAATTACTACAAACCTACTCAGAGCATATAAAATAATTATTTACAGGAATTCAGAACTAGGATTTTGCACAACCAAACAATTGCTACATCTTTGACAACAATAATTACATCTAACACATTCAACAGCAGTACTAAGTAAACAAGCTAGCTAACCCTAATTCTACATTTCACAGAGGTGGCAGATGCATAGAGGTAGGAGAAGGAAATCTTACTCGACACCGCCAAGACCAGAGGTATAATGGTGGCTTTGGCTAGGGTTGGCCTTCCACACCTTAGCCAATGCTGCCGCCGACCTGGCTCCCACGTCGTACGACGCCGACGACTGGCTAGATGCGGCAGGAACTTCACCGCCGCCGCCCGTCATCTTCACCGCGTTGTCGCCCTCCGGCCTCAGGTGCTCCTTCTCTCCTTCGTCTTCTCCTTCGCCGCAGCCGCCGCCGCCGCCGCTGCGTGTCGCCATGGAGGGCGCGAGAGAGAACTAGGTCACGAGGGAGAGGAGGGGGAATGGTGGCGCGGGCACGAGCTGGTCCGGTCGAACCAGGTCAAGGGAGCGCCGCTAACGGGCGTCATGCGCGCGCCGTCTGCCCCATGCCACGTGGCCTGACGGCTGGGCCCAGAACGTCAGGTTTTCTGTCAAAACGCGGTCAAGCGACCAGTTAGTGCTCCATGCAACAAAATTACTGAAAAACGGTGGTTTCTGCAAACTTTTATGAAAACGGTGGTTTTTCGCACCAAGCGACGCAATTGTGGTGGTTTTTTGCAATTTACTCATCACTGATCAATAATACCAGGTTAGCTAAGGCATGACTTTCAAAACATAATAATATGCTGTGTCACACGAGTTTGGCTCCTTGCTTGTAGAGTGTTCAGCTAATGCATAGATTCATTGTGTTACCTCTGAGAACGTATCTTAGTGTGTGCTACTCGTGGTTGAACAAATCACTATAAATAGCAATCTTAGCTTGTTCATGAAATGCAGGTGTTTGAACCAATTAAATAGTTTGTTTGCCTTGAAAAATGTTGTCATCTAACAGTGTGTGCTCCGTTGTAGGAAATTATCTCCGAGGATGACGAGAAGCTTCGGGCTCTGAAAGATGAAAATGGCGAACAGATCTATGCTGTGGTAACAAAGGCCCTGCTTGAAGTCAACGAGCACAATCCCAGTGGCCGCCATCCTGTTAACGAGCTGTGGAACTACAAGGAGGACCGGAAAGCCACCCTGGAAGAAGCCGTTGAGCACCTCCTGAAGCAGTGGCGTGTGGACAGGAGCAACCTCAAGAGGAAGCGCATTGAAGAAGATGCTGGAAGCACTTAGTCAACTGGACATGACGGGCTGAAGTTTCTGGCAGTACTTAATAAGTTTTAAGTAATTAATAAGTTGGACATGAGGTTATTTTGGCCCTGGCGTGTTAGAGCAGTGCGACTCTTGACGCCGAGGCAGATGGTTTCCGGTAAACTTATAACCTTTTAGTTGCGGTGGTGGTGTAGCATTGCCATGAATGCTTGCTGGTTATCCTCTTCAGGTTTCTCTGGGATTTGACACTGATTTGATGCAAATGAAGGTGCATTTTGCCTTTAATTTGGGATCAGCTTCTGGATGTTAAAGTTTCCATGCATGCCTAACAAGAAACAACTGCTCTGGTTTACTTTGCTGCTATTTCTTGGCTTTCTACATCTAAATTCCCTTTTGTTACCCCTTTTGTTCTCAATTTGTATAAGTTCTAATCCTCTAGCCGAACTAAATCGCCCATCAGATCTTCCTTCACTCCTTTCGTCATTAACTCACCTCTTTTTTTCTTTTTTACTTTGAGAAGGCATTGAAAGGTGCCATTTATTAGCTCACACACATTTTACATCAAGGATTCTGAATCCTTCAAGTACAAAGTTGCTTAAGGCAAGCAACAGAGGGCACTGCATACCCCTATGGAAGAAATTCGTACAGAAAGTAGGAGAGGAAGCAATAGATGACTTCTTTTGAGCATCTTTGGCACAACCGTGAGCAATCCCATTCAAGTCTCTCTTAATATGGTGAATGTAGAAAGAGTGAGCTTTGAAGAGGTTGGCTATCTGTTCTAAATCTGACCTGATTTGCCAATGAATATCTCCAGCATCTGTGACTTTAGCAAGCACCTGATTGTCTGTGAGAAGTGTTGCTTGGTTAAGCTGAGTGGTAGAAGCGAGCTTAGAAGCAAGAAGCAGAGCTTTGGCTTCAGCATGGAGAGTAGAGTTGACAGCACTATAAGTGGCTGAAATCATAACATCAGTTCTTTGGTCCACCTATTCATTATACAAATATAAATACCAATTCCTGTAGAAAGCCGTTCAGAACCCTCCTTCCAAGCTGCATCACAGAAGACCTTGAAACCTGTAAGCTGATGATCAGTCCTGATAGTGCTTCCAGAAGGAAATTTGTCCCTCTCGACGTCGTCCCTCGCGTCGCCCCCGCGGGCGACCCAGGGGGAAAACCCTAGCCGCCGCCCCTCGAGTCTCCTTCACCTCTCCCCCTCCTCGCCGCCGTCCATAGCGCCGCCGGGCGAAGCCTGGCTGGCTGGGCGGCGGTGGGGCTTCTCCCCATCCTCTCCGTCTTGACTGGCGCGGGACAGCGGGATCCAGAGGAACGCCGGGCGAACGTGGGGTTCGGCGGCGCGGCGGGCGGGTCTCCCATCGGCGTCGTGCGCGGCGCGGCGGTGGCTGCGTTGGCCTGACCGGTGGTCGTTGGATTCGGCGTCTCGAGATATACAAGGAGTTCTTCTCGATCCTCCTTTCTGGTGGGTTGAGCCCCATGGCTCTTTCATCTTCGCGGGTTTCGGATCGTGGCTTGCCGGATCCGGAGTACACGGAGGTTTGGTGGCATAGGATGGGACCGGAGGAAACTTTGGTCGGCGTGTTCGGCCCGGCATCGGCGACGTCAATTGACGTCGTTACCCTTCTTGGAGGCGAAGCCGAGGTCCCCCCTATCCACCCCCGAACCCCTCCTGGACGAAAGTCCAAAATTCAGTCTAGATTGGGCGGTCGCGGCGTCCTGCGCGTCGTATCCTCCATCGAGGCACCGTCTTGGGAGGAACTGCTGTTCGAGGGAGAGATGTTGTGGATGGCGGGCTCCGAGTAACTCCAGCAGTGGCGATGGTGTGGAGGTTGCCAGGTGGTGCGGCGTTGTATCTACCGCATCATTGACGACGAGTGGTGGCGGCATGGTGTAGCTGCATATCGACGACGGATGCGGCTGGATGGACGAGCGCAGGGTGGTCGAGCTATCTGGTGTCATGGTGGCGTCGACGGCAGGCCTGGCAAGGTCTGTGCATCAGTACCTGCTCTGGAGATGGATCGATGGAAGAAGGCGGCGGCAGTCTCGGTGAGTGCACCGGACCGGCGTGTGACCCAGTCCCGGTATGTGGTTGGGATGGGGCATCCGGCATTAGATGTTAGGTTTTGGTGCGATGTCTGTTTGGTACTCCCTCCGGTTCTTAATAGTCTGCGTATAAAATTTTCCAATTTTTTCCTTAATAGTCTGCGTACTGAGCCACCGCAGCTAGTCTTTTCATCCATGGCACTGCCCTTTCCATCCCATCCCTTAATTATCGTCCGTCAGTAACCAATTGGCATGCAGAGCATGCATGCAGGGGCGTGCGCTACGAGGAGTCAAAGGAGGACAGCCAATCAAAGCGTCTGCAGTTATTTTTTAGCGGGATATCCGTATACACAGATCACACTGTTGTGGGGGTAAAATTGTCCAGTTTTTTGCATGGCTGCCTCTCCTTGGTATCTGGGCTTTGTGTTATGCGCAAGTTAAAAAGGATCGGAGGGAGTAGACTCGGACATTCGGCACCACTGCATCAAGGGGGTAGGAGTAGCGACAGATGTTGCCTAGATGGTAACTTCAGGCTTACTGATATACTACTTTGTAAGGTCTTTTGTGCTTGATTATTAATAAAGTGGCCGTATACATCGTCCAGATGCAGAGGCCGGGGGTGCATCCTCTTTTTTTTTAAAGAAGGAAATTGTCCTTCTACCGTCAATGTATGCGCCTGTTCTCTGCACTCTGGAAGATAGGCCTGGAAGGGAGTAATATCATCTTCTATTTTTTGTCCCTGCATAAGTGCTTGCGAGGCGAAATTAACCTGTGCAGGATGAACCTACGCTTGTCGTTCCTAGCCTTCCATACGCACCAAAGAAGTGTCATTGTGTTACACATGGATGCCTGGGATGCCCTTAGTCTAGAATCGCCTGAATAAGTTGTGGCACAGACCTGTGATGTTGCAATAACAGTTCTGATCTAATAAACCATGTGTCAGAGAACCAATCAGCTTCAGCAAAGGAACAGGAAAAGAATAGATACACGTCATCCTCTTCAACATCACAAGTAGAGAAACGTTTATCAATATGAGCAATGTACCCGCCTCCTCTCATACCTGTGGGTAAATCTCGTCTTAAAAAGCCTCCAAGCGAAAGTCTGAACTCTAGGCACTAAAGTTTTATCCTTCCAAACATGTGTGAGAAGGGAAGTGGCAAGAGAAGGAACCTGCCTAGGTTGTGATGCTCCCTCATTGAGCAGGTCCTGCACACAAAGCTTATCAGCACTTTTTCAAGTATATTTACCAGTGGGGTTAGCTTCCAGCAGAGGATATCCTTTACATGAGTTTGAATTATGGGTGTTTGAAGTGTCAAACAGAACATTGTGTCACGTCTGATAATGTACATGGCGTGCGACTATAGGCACGGACCGGCTAGGTAGTTAGATGAAATCTTTATCTCTTGTAATCATCTCTATCTCTTCTCCAAATTGCAACTCTTCTGGAAAATCTCCAACGATGTATGCGCTGTTCAGGGAGGTGCGCCCCTGCCTATAACATGAAGGGCGTCGCCTCCAAATGACGTGAGACGCTTTCCGCCATCGCACATGGTAATCAGAGCCTTCCTCCTTCCAACCATCTAGCTCTCCAATTCCATCAAGTGCTAGCCATGCCTTCCTCCGGCGCTTTCCAACCGAGCCTCAACGGCCAGGTCATGGAGACGCTCTCCCGCACGAACTACGTCATGTGGCGCACACATATCACGCCACAGCTGAGGGGAGCTGGTGTCTTCGGCTACGTTGACGGCACCATGCCGGAGCCGGCTAGGCTTCTCGTCTGTCACCAAGGACAAGGACGGGAAGGAAACCTGAGCTCAACCCTCTCCACCCAATCTAGGCCAGGGAGGACCAGCAGGCCTCTTCAAAGAGGTGCTCGTCATGGTGACTGCGCTCACCACGGGGCACACACTCTGGGCGGCGCTAGCAGGCATGTTTTCGTCGTAGTCTCTCGGCCACGTAACCAAAATCCGCACAACATTGATCAACGCGCAGAAGGGCAACCAATCGGTGGTCGCTTACTTCGCTTCCATGTGCGGCCTCGCCAATGAACTTGCCGTGGCCGACAAGCCCATCCAGGACAATGAGCTGATCTCCTATATTCTTCAAAGGCTGGACATGGATTACCCGCCCCTCGTCCTGGCCCTTGATGCCTGCGTCACACCCATCACCCTCGACGAGCTCTTCGCCATGCTCAGCAACTTCGATTAGCGCGTGGCCCAATTCCAGAGCTCAGGTGGCGGCTTCAAATCTTCTGCAAATGCGGCAACCCACGGGCGTGGTGGCAACTCCTCACGCTACCGTGGTCCTCCTTGTTCCAAGGACCACCTTCGATACCGGCCGGAATCACCATCCTGTTCGCCCCGCCGTCGCCTTGCTCTGATACCCTGTTGTGCTTTGAGGAGCACCAACCTAGAGAGCGGTGGTTGCACATCAAACTCGGGTGTGTGTACCATCGAGGAGACAACTTACTCCTTCCTCACTTCTAGGTCAACAACACACATTGGCCAGGCCCATAATGGTTCAACGAATTTTATTTCGAAACATAGTTGCACCACATTACCGAAGAAGTTGCCCATGCACCGCACTTGTGCGGGCCACTGGGCTAGTTCTCTATATAGCAGATGATGAATGTGTTATTCATGCTTGTGGGAGTGGTGTTGCCATTTTGCTTCATAGGTTAGATAGCTTGCATGTACATACCTTGGACAGCAAAGAATCGAAGGACATACTTAACTCTGAAGCATGGTCTCCCATCTTTGGCATTCCAAATCTGAAGAGTTCTGAACTGTCTATCGAGACTGTCTCAAAAATTTACCCTTCTATGTCCTTGTCCTATACGTATGCTCTCTTCCTACTCCTCCTAGGTGTTTAAATACCACTCAACCCAAGCATTCAAAACCACTAGTGATATAATTAAGTAGTAGAGTCTTGAGTCTTGTTTTTCGTCTTTTATTTTTACTATTGTT